GCATTTGCTTGTCAGTTGTAAGTCTCATCTGTTTTGGGGTTCGATTTTACTAAGCATAGGGTGTTGTAGTCAATTTTTTAGGCGTATTTTTCTCTATCGCGCGTGGTGTCGTGGCTTGATTTCATTGGCTACGCATGTTACTCTACGTGCGTAGTACTGATGTAATATTTGCTCACCATAATGTCACGTGACACCTCCTCATTAGAGTACTGATGCATCAGTACTCCTGAGGTAATATTTTTTCGTAAGAGAGATACCTGGGCTCCTATAATAGCCTTTGCTATTCCTTTAATATATATATATATATATATATATATATATACAACAATCAATAAACTCCCTCGCGGGTAACCAGAAATGCCACGTCTTCGATCTCCCTATAAACAAACCCGGAACCTACACTTCCCCTTCCCATCTCTTCTCATCAAAACAGAGCAATCAAACCTCTCTTCTCTCATCTCCATCTTCTCCTCCCTAATACAATGTCAGCAACGCCGGACCAATTAAAAAGCTGCCGCCTTCCGCCGCCGCCACGTCAGCATATTCCTCGGCGGCGGGGGGGCGCCGCCGGAAAACGGCGACGGTGAGATTGGGAAATCGCCAGAGAAGTTTGCTGTGGCGGGCTGGGAAGGTTTTGGTGAGCGCGATGCGGCGCATGAAGCTGCGGTGGATTACGGCGCAGTACGCCCGTGCGGTGAAGAAGCTGAGAAATTATTATGCGGAGCTTTTAAAGGATTTGGCGGAAGGTGCGGCGGCCATGGAGGCTGCTCAGGCCAAGTTTTTATCAGAGGCTTACTTCGTCGTTCCGGTCTTGCCGGCGGTCACCTATTACAGGAGCGATTATTACGTCCGGAATCTGTAGGTACGTCTCGTGGTACTGTTAGTAATGTTGATGCTGTTATGATGATATTGCGTTTTATCACAATATCAAATAACATCAATACCATCAAAATTACCACCATCGACTAGTAATCTGCGCCTATCTCATCTTGACGGAATCAATTTTTCTATTATAACGGGTTTCTTTTGAGTGTTGTTTTCATGGGGGAAAAAAAAGACAAAATAGACAAAGTTGAGTGTGAATTTGATGATATTTAGGGTCCGTTTGGGGCAGTTTATTTGGTGCAGTTTGTTTGGGTAAACTGCGTTTTGGTAGCTTATGCGTTTTCAAAATGCTGGAAACAGTCCACATCTATTTCGGCGCGGTTGCAGCTTTCTGGTAGTGGTTTGACTTTTCAAAAAAAAATAAAAATTTATAATGACCACCGTACCTAACTTATCAGCAGATTATTCAATAAGTTGCAGCTGCCCCATACAGTCCCTTAATGATATTGTGATGATATTGTGGCACAGTATTTAATAATACTATTAAGTAACATCAAGTCTCATATCTGAATTGTGCATATAATATTCTCTAGTTTCAAACATTAAATTGAGAATCAGAGAAAGTGAACCTATTTTCTTTTTGCATATGTTTTATTTTATTTTATTTTATTTTATTTTTTTGGAATGAGAAATGGGTTGGGCTTTGAGAAACTATGGAAAAGGAGTTTGTTTTATAAGTAATATTTATTTAAAGAATATTTAAATGTTCTGTGATTTAATATGATAAAATTTTTGGTATAAATCTCAAGCATGTCAAAGTAAAACTAAACGGCGGCAAGTGGCGATCGTAAATTCAGACGACCAATCCCCGATGATCACATCGCCACAAACATCATCGGCGAGCGACGTGGCCGCCGCTAGTTGGCCGTCCGAGCGTGCGGACGTTCTGACGGAATATATATATATTTTTGGTGACGGACACCTTGAGCAATTATAAATTTTGTTATAAGTATTATTTATAGAATCTTAACCTAAAGAGATGTTATTTTTTATTTTTATTTTTTTTAAGGATTGAGATGAAAATCTTATTGTAATAGATTTTAAAAATGTAGAAATTATTTTAAGAAGGATGTGGGTCATAAATAATTAATGAATTTGAATGCTTTATTTATCTCATAAAGGTAAGTATTTTGAAACTCAATCAAATTAAATTTTGATGAGGATAACCATACATTTTTCTCTTTTGACTTGATCTCTGACAAATTTAGTTCCTTTAAAATAATCTGAACAATTTAAGTCTAATCAAGTTCGATCAAATCTGTCTTGAACCTTATTAGAGTTTGTCTCGAACAAACCTTTGGATCAAGTTCAAATGTGAGTTTTGAAGTGTTTCAAGACAAAGGTTCTTGCAAGGATGGTGTAGCAACCAACATGAATCAACATCGTTCTTGGCTTAACCACATCAGTGTAAGCTTCTATCATACAATAGGCTTGAAGCTTCGCACCCTACCTCGCCTCCATCACCCCCACATTATTCGCCTACTTGGCCATTACAATGAGCAAATTTGAATTAAAGGCTCAACATACTAAACCTTCTAATTCACTTTCTTAGCTACTACAACATGAACATCGCCACCACAATCTTCAAATTCATCCCTAATGGAAGCCTTCATGAGAAGCACAACTATGATGGCTAGGCGCGAACATTGTGCTCCCGTATCCGCAGTGGCCTTTCATTGTTCATTGCTTCAAGTTTGCTTCTTATGACCTCCATTAGGGTTGCAAGCTCCAAAATCATCATTGTTAACATGAAAGCCTTCAATGTTCTTCTCAACAGACTTCAACCACAAGCTTTCTGAATTCCAAAATATACGTTCCAACAACTTCAAATCTGGTTCTGAACACAGGTTTGAATTGCCTAAAGAAAAATTAAGGATGAAGTTGTGCACATATACATATATGCATGCATAAATGCATACAATACAAGTGTGTATATGAATGCATGTATATTATATCAACATAAGTCGTAAAAGCTTTGAATGCTTATAAGCCCTATCCTAAATTTTAAGAGAAAAATTGGCAGGATTCGAGTATAAATAATAAAAAAAATACTTTCTTATAATTATAAATTTAAAAAACATATTTTAAAAATTTATCCTTAATTATTTAAAAAGGCATGAAATTCTATCCGCCGGGATGTCAACTCGCCAATCACATCACAATCAAAATGCTGTGTATATTTAAACAAAGACAATAAATTGTCTTGAGTCGAGCTAGCGTTTGAACTTATCTTGAGCTTAAATACATAAATTTGAGCTGAATTATATGAGCCAAATTATTTATTAGATAAAAATTAATATTATAATAAACTAATAAATAGAACAAATAATTATGCAAGAAATAGTAAAAAAAATATCTAATTTAAAAAATAAAATATTTTTTAAAAATATTTTACGACTTTATATCAATTTGAGATTTGACTTGTTAGCTCATAAAGCTCAGTTCACGAGTCACTTTTCGAGTTGAGCTCGAGCCAACTCACAAATAGCTTGACACACTTACACCCATAGTGAATAATCATACACTTAATAATCGGACTTTTTTTTACATGACATATATATATATATATATATAACTGAAATCCACCTAATTCATGCTTTTATATATATAAGTAAAAGAGCATTTACATTATAACACCTAAACTACCCAAATCTTTTACAATCACATCAAAAATATCACTTTTTAAAATTTAAAATTGAAATTCATCTTTTAATGTGAATGTAAGGTGGCATATATATAAAAATTGAAGTTTACGCGTTAAACCTGTAAATACAAAGGACTTAAGAGGTATGTAAGAAAAAACATCATATCTCAAATGATACTCTATTAAGCATCTCCAATTTGTATTTAACAGTAACACCTAACATATGTTAATAAAAGAAAGACTTTAGATGTAAAAAAAGAAATGCATCAAACACGAAGCAAAAACCCATTGGCCAAAATTAGCTAGGATAGAAATGAACCACCAAGCACACCGCTACATTAAGACTCAGGGTCCGTTTGGGGCAATTGATAAGTGCGGGCGGCATTTTTAAAACGCCGTCGTACCGTTTGATTCGCACATTTTATCATCTTATCTTAAACTATGTTTAGGTTTTTACACTAAACGCAGGCCACGGATCGACTCTCTCGGACGGCCCGCGGGCCGCATTTCAGAATAAGCAGCACAAATTGCCCCCAAACGGACCCTCAAAAAATTACATATGAAGCATTTACAACAACCAAATTCTTATATTTACATGAATAACATTTAAACTTTTGATGCTTATTTAGGTAACTAATTCTTTAAAATTGCATCAAAATTACACAAATATTATTTTTTTTTCTTGAAGTGAGATGCATGTTGTGATTGTGGCAACTGTTATATATAAATAAACATCAAATTTTAAGTGTTAAATATGAAAATACAAAATAATTGTGATGCATATATATATATATATATATATATATATATATATATAACTTGATCAGAAGCTATTAGACGAGCATCCGGACTAACTTCATGTAACTAAAAGTTCTATTTCACACATAAGCAGGATCAAACATGTGACCATGGAGTCTTAAGAAACAAACAAACAGTTTAAAGATAAATAAACAGCAGAAATAATATTAAATCAGATAATTTATTATACCTTAACAGTTCGAGAGCGAGGGCCATCATCAATACCAAGACCCATAAACAGCTTAATAGTTGAGAAGTTGTTCTTTATATGGCCATAAAATGCCCATAATTATTAAATTATGAACAGTGACATGCATTATACAAGATTTATTTATTTTAAGAGGCCTTTACATGCATTATACATACCACCCAATTTCTGTCTTTACATATCTAACACAGAGACATTGCTTTTTACATTTATACCACCGTAATCTTTCTTATCACATCAAAAATACTATCATTTTAACTTTTAAAAGATGAAATACATCTTTTCATGAGGAAAAGGTGGCATGTATGTAAAATATTGTAGAAGTCTAGGAGTTAGACATGCAAATACATAAGAATTGAGCGGTATGTATGTAAATCATACTTATTTCAACTATAAATTAAAATTTATGATAATATTAAAACAAACTAAAATTATGAAAATCTACACGACAAAATTATTGCCAAATAAAAGCCTAAATTGATTTAGTTCCAATAAACAACTGATGAGCACTACAGAAAAAATTCAAAGCGTCCAAGCATAACAGAACATAGTACAAGTGGACTTTGTGGACTGATTCATTTGCCTCATTGGCATAAAAAATCAATGGAACTTGAAAGCAAATAAATATGAGCTAGAGTTTTTATCCCCATACCATCATCCGTTCCTGTTTGCCTCTGCCTCTTTCTTTCTCTTTTTGAGAAGCTCAATCTTGCTCTTTTTCCTTTCCTTTCCAATCTGCCAGTAAACAAAAAATATGAAATTATAAACTTTAAAGGGGAATTTACATAAATACCATCCAATTCTTATGTATTAACATATCCAACACAAACTTTAATTTCTACTTTTGTACCACATAAACCTTTCATATCACACCAAAAATACCACTATTTTTACTTTTAAAATTAAGGCGGCATATATGTAAAGATTGAGGTTTAGGAGTTGGAAATGTAAATACATAAGAATTGAGTGGAATGCATGTAAATCTTCCAAACCTAAAATGGCAATACCATAAGATAATCAGAGAGAATATTTTTAAATAGCAAGGCCGAGAATCACCAGAAATCAAACACTAAAAAGTACATGTCATGAAAAGTTAAACATTTAGATGCATTGGAATGTCTATAAATGGATGGATATAAGAACATGGGAGAATTCACAAAACAAATGAAAAGACATAAAAACAAAAACTACTGTACCTGTATTGCTTCCATAAGGCCCCTCTGTTTGCGCGACATAGAAACTTTCGAAAGATTAAGTTCATCTGCGGCAACCTGATCCAACGCATTCCTTGTCCCTTCCTTGACCTCCACATCTCCTACAGGAATCTGCGAGTTTCCTCTCGATGATGCTGCGGAGAAGGTAACCCCCTGAAGCTCCATGTTCAGCTCATCATGGTACTGCTGCTCAAGCTTTAACAACTGCACGAAAAAAAGATCTTCCAGTAATTTTGCATCATCTGCTTCCAATATACTGGGTATTTACATATATACCACAATGTTACCACACAATTCCAATGTTGCTTCACCCAAATCTTTCATATCACATAAAAATACCATCATTTTTTTAAGTTTGACGACTAAAACACGCCTTTTCACGCATAGGTACGGGGGTATGCATGTAAAAATTGAAGTTCAGGTGTTAGATATGTAAATACATGTGAATTGAGTGGTACGCATGTAAATCTTCCAAAGGATATTCAAAAAGAAAAATAACAAATGAGTGCGTACCTTCTGTCGCTGCTCTGCAGCTTCGTTAGCTTCGGCACGATCAATAACTCCTTCAGCCAAAAGGCTTTGGGGATCAGCCAAATCTAGAGTGTCCGAACCTGGCAAAGGTAGAACGTGTCTTCTGGCAGCCGCCTGTAGACGTTTTATTGTCTCGGCATATTCGGGAACATAGCCTTCAGCCTCATTGTCAACAAAAGGTGATAAATGTGGTGGAGGGACCCTATGAAAGCAGAGAGGTCATATTTGCAAAATAGTTAATAAAAAAAAAAAAAAGACAAAACAGGTACAATAGTGCGAGAGGTTAAATTGAAAGTTATCAAATAAAACATAAAGATCAAGCGTGCTACTGCCTCCATTAATGAAATGGAAATGCAAGCCAACAGATATTAAAGCAATTGTTTGAAGAGGGAAAAGATCAGGGGCATAAATGCTAAATTTCGTCACTATTAACTATATCACAACTATTTAGGGTAGATTTTATAAACTCATGTTTCATTTTTGCTGCTGTAAACCTATTTTCCACAAATTACTTTGAAAAATTCTATGTTGTCATAGATTAATCATTTTTCCATCACAACCATTAGACAGTAATTCAGTGTACCCATCCAAACCACCCAAATGTATTTTCGCTGCCTTATCCTCACTAGATGTCACTCGAACCTTTCTTCTAAAATAATCACCCCTTAATTTAGCATTTTTAATTTTTCGACATATCGATCATAGCATACTTATATTTTTCATAACTAACTTAGTAATCAATAATCTTTTTAATGTCCAAAACTAGAATTCATACAACATAATCAATCAATTTTATAATTTTTTTTCTATATTTCATCATATTTCATCGTTTTATCTCACTCTTACGAATTCTCCACCCATTGTACTCACCTCAACATTCATTTAAATTCAAATTCATACTTTGAAAGCTAAATATTATTTCTCAATTTAAAAATTTAAACCATGTAAATGGAAAACTTTCAAGTACTAGCCTTTGGGATTTGGCTTGGTAAGTTCATCCTTCCCCTAGTTTTTTTGCTAGCAGGATAAGGAATCACTCTCATCCTCAATGGGCAATTAAGCAAATAGTGGATAATTAAGCAATCAAAATTGGGAAAACCTAGGCCTTTGATGGATTCAGAGCAATTTATGTATATTGTGGACTTCTGGTTCTTCTTCCATTATTGGAGAACTCTGGATTTGGCTTCACCGTAAAGGAAATTCATATTGTAATCTTATTAATTTAGTATAATGTATTTGGGAATAAATAAGATCTAATGGCTGTCAGAAGTCCAAATTTTGATAAACCAAGATTTAAAGTCAGCAAACAAAAGAATGATATGGTGACACAATGGTCAATAAACTCGATGGCAAAAATAGGAGAAAACTACATGTACAATAAAATTGCATTACAAAAATAGATTGCACAACAAGAGAACTACTCTAACAAAGGTAACTCAAATCATTGAGAACAAGAAAATGCTCCATGACCAAAGTCAAGACCAGCTTTCTATAGTTAAAGACTTCAAAATTCTAACAAGTTATTGGCAACAGCTACATAATCTTTAAGATTGGGAACAGAAGCGACTTTAATGAGAAACTATCTACAAGTTCTTGCTCAGTCTTAATAAGAAACTAGATGTACCTGATGGAAGAATCCCAAGAAATAAGCCTTTCCTAGCTTCTGTGAATCTTTTAAAAAGTTCAAAGAGGATAATAGAAAGGAAGCAATGCTAGGATTACATAATAACCCACTAAAATGTTTGTTGCTCATGATTCACGTTACACTAAACCGAGTGCATTAAAATGGATACAAAAATAAATAGTATAGAAACCCAATGACAATCATCAAAAGAAATATATGACATGGTGGTTAGAAGATTCATGGGAAACAAAGAAATTGGAAGCCCAAAAGCCCCAAAAGAGACCACCGTGCCACTGCCAAGTTTGAAATATCAACATAATAGGGCGAGTTCCAAAGGATACAAAAAGAAACCATATAGAAATTACTTCAATCAGCACGAAAAAACACTGTCTATCAGTAATACATGTTCTTTAACACCAAAAGGTCATTCTTGAAAGCCTCATGTGTAAGACAAGAAAAGTCTAGTCGAATAGATTGTAAATTCAACAGCATTTATCATAGTAAAGAAGCATCCATTATTGAATTTTTGCCACATATAGAGGGCCCACTCACTCCAATCATAACAAAAAAAAATTAAAGGATCCAGATAATGGCTTTGTGTTATTGGATCTATGGATTTTGAATTGCAATTCGTGTGCTTCTCAATAATATCGCTGGCCCCTTCTTATTTTCCCCTTTTTTTTTATTTATTCCTAAGTGTCTCGATGATGCATATATACCTCCTCTTGTAAAAAATACTAGGGAAAATAAAAATTCTTAAGGACCTATTCGGTTGACTGCAAAACACGGTTAATGTATTTTAAATTCCTGTATTCCGCTTTTTCTTTTGTTTGACGGAGAAGGTATTGAATCCATTGCATTTTTTCATGGTATTTTGTAGCCCCCAAACCCGCCTTTCTCCACGACTTTACACCCCGCTCAATTCGACTGAATTCCAAATACATTGACAGTCAGGTCGTGCTCTCCTACAAAAACCCTCTTCGTCTTTGCAACTCCAAGCATGATCTCACGAGAAAACCCTATCCGTCTTCGCAACCTCAAGCCCTTCAATTGCTTAAGGAGAGGGCTGAGCTGATCTCACAAAACAAGGAGGTGAGACAGGACATGATCCACAATTTCAATTTTCTCTCTGCCACCTCTTCGCTTTGCCTTCGTTGTTTATCTCCATCCTAAAATTAAGTACCCATGACCCTTCCCGGCATCTCGTTGCTCAAGCATTTCGACGTGATCCTTCCCGGCATCTTGCGAACTACCTTCGTTAACAGCTGCTACCCAACTCCTTCCACCAAGGAAACCAGCATATTGAAGGTATCTGCTTCTCGCAAAGGATCAAATTCCTACTTCGTATTTGTTTATGTTTTCTTTATTAGCTTTCCATTCTTTTCTTCTTGCTCTATATGGTGCTGATATATCACTAACTTAAAATAATGACTTGCACTTGCTCTTACCAATTTCTTACTAGAAATATTTACTAGTAGAATATCTGTTCTATCAGTTGCTTTGTTTATCTCTAGGTATTTGTACATATTTTTATAGATAGTATTTTTCTCATATAAAGATTCATTTTTCCAATCCTCATGGAACAAATTTACAGATTTGCAAAAAATTAATGAACAATTTAGTTCTCAACAATAAAGAAAAGCAAGAGTGAAAATTAATTTTCTGTTAGAGGATTATAGAACTGTAAATAACTTGGACTATTTTATAGGTTTCATTCAAATGTAGATCATAAGCAAGTGGGTTTTTAGGAAACTTGATAATTCAAATTTGTTTTGCTGAATTTCTGTTGTTTTACGTTGTGCGGGAAAAGAAAATAACGTGAAAAATAAATCACTCACAGAAGAGCGTGCAAAGGACAGCTTCGAGAATTTTCCTTTTAGTGTATGCCAGTTTCGAGAGCTTACCGGTACTTATTCTCAGAAAATTACTGGTTCTTCTATTGTTCTTAGAAAAGTTAAATGTGTTTTTGTTCAAGCAAGCAAGTGCTTTACACAAAGCTCAGCCATATTTGTTAAGAAACATGCCAATAAACATATTTGAGCATGCTAAAACTTTGTGAAGATTATGTTCAATCTGAACTCTGGGAGCTACCTAAAATTGAAGTTGATAGTGAATTTGGAGTTCGCTTTATCTAGAGTGAGATCAGATTTTAACCATACAAAGGTCTAGGATTCAATACATTTGATAGGTAATTGCAAATAAAAGCTTCACAGACTCGAGCACACTAATGAGGAAACTTAACGCCTAAACTTTCATATCTACATTTATAACACGTCAGTCTTATAAGATTCCGTATTAGAAGATGTATTTCACTTTTAAAATGAGGGTGATAGTGTTATTTTTTTATGTGAAATTAATTATTTAAGTGATATGCATGCAAATATTAAAATTTGGGTGTCAGATATGTGTGGTATTACATAGCCCAAATTTAGTAAATCATGGAAATGGAAATGTAAATGCTGCAGTTATAAGCATATTGTTATTATTTTTTACAGGATTTTCCTCTTCTCGTGAACAGGTCATCCGTAGTTATTGCTTAAGGCATCTATCAATCTTTCAACACATTTAGGATTTCTGACTTAAATAAGAACTTGCTGTTTTTGCAGACCACTAGAATCCTTGGATTTGAAATATCATTCCTTGGGTCCATATGTTAATAATGCTTCTTTTGGTATGTTTGATTTTCTTGACCTTTTTACATTTCATGGTCCTTCGCAGTTTCTTCTTGTTGACTAGAAGATTACAAATATGATTAATGTTCTAGAAGATGCAATTCGAGGTAAATGTCCCATTGTTTTAATTGCAGAAGATATTCAATAAGAAGCTCTAGCAACACGTGTTATAAACAAGCTAAGTTCTAGTTTATGCATCAAACTATATAATTTTCAGCTCTGTACTGATTTCTTCAGAATATTAGAACACTGGAAGAATTGTGTATTTATTGTGGAATTGAAAACTGCTGTAGCTTGATGATGGTGCTGCTGATGGTGCCGCTTATTCGAGAATTACTTTTCACAATTCAAATTGGCTCAAAAGAGAAGATGACAGAAGAAGCTCAAATAGAATATTATCAAATTACTTCATAGAAAATATCAATTTATTAAAGTTAATTGGCTAGCAATTGATGAAATAAATAAGATTCAATTAAAAGATCTGTGGTTGTATTTAGTGTCACCAATTTTTGTTATTTAATTTATTTTTTCCTCATTAGCTTAAGAGCCATGCTTTTTCTAATCTATGTATCAGGTTATTCAGATTTTCACGTTGTCAATTTTTGTAGATATGCTAATTTAATGAAAAAAAAGTTTCATTTAATTGATAATCAAGTCTTTGTTCTGGGTCATACTAAATCACAATGAAGGTGTTTCAAATTGATTATCAATTCAAATTTGATCTGAGTCGAGCTTGGTTTAATATTCAGCTTGTTGGCTTCAGTTTAAGCTAAAAATTGAAGCAATTTTGAATTATTTTAATGTCTTTTTTTTTCAAAATTTATAAAATTTCTAGTACCTATCAAAATAATATATGGCAGTAACTTATTATAAATCTAAAATTAAGTAAGACATTTCTCTTATGTT